TACCTATAGGCCCCATAGTAGCTCCTTTTTGGGATTCCCTAATAGGATGCTACCCTAAACCCTAAACCCTAAACCCCCCCAAAAAGGAACTACTTTAGGGCCTATGGGTAAAGGGACCCTGAACTTGCAAACCCAAACCCTGAACCCCACAGAAAAAAAGCAACTAAGACCATTAAGCCCAACCCGAATCGACAAACAAGAACCGTCGAAGCGTCATGAAGGCCCTCAATCCAAAACCTTAAAGTATGCCGGACCGCCCCCCCCACCGTCTTCGTGGCAGAGTTGTAATTGGGGAAACCTAAGGCTCCAAATAGCCCAAAGTATGTACCATTGACTCCAAGGTCGGTACTACTCGTATACCAAGCATCCAAAAACCGTACGCCCCCCTAAACCCTAAACCCTAAATCCAATCGAAGCGTCCTAAACCCCAAACCCTAAACCCTGAACCCTAAACCCTAAATCAAATCGAAGCGTCCTAAACCCCAAACCCTGAACCATAAACCCTAAATCAAATCGAAGCGTCCTAAACCCCAAACCCTAAACCCTGAACCCTAAACCCTAAATCAAATCGAAGCGTCCTAAACCCCAAACCCTGAAGCCTAAACCCTCAATCAAATCGAAGCGTCCTAAACCCCAAACCCTGAACCCTAAACCCTAAATCCTAAACCTAAATCAAATCTAAGCGTCATGAAGCAGTCCAAGGCGTTCAGCAGTGGCACTTTCCATGGCCAGGCCTCAAGGAAGCAGTCAGACTATGCGTTTCGGAGGGGGGTTTTAGGGTTTAGGTTTTAGGGTTCAGGGTTTTTAGGGTTTAGGGTTTTTAGGGTTTAGGGTTTAGGGTTAAGGGTCTAGGTTTAGGCTTGGGGTTTAGGGTTTAAGCTTTAGGGTTTAGGCCTAGGGTTTAGAGTCTAGGCTTCGGGTTTAGGGTTCAGGTGTTTCCTAAGTATAACTCTAAGGGTCCATGCGCCCAAACAGGGCTCCTTTGAGGGCTACTATAAGGTCTTTATAAGGGTTCGACAAGGGTTCTGTAAGGTTTAGGGTTCAAGCGTCCATGTGCCCGAATAGTGTATACTTTGGCCCTCAAGTAGTTCCTATGTATGTTCTTCAATGCCAAAATATGTAGCAGTTGGGCACATGGCCCCCAAGCTTAAGTGTAAGTATACGGGTCTGAAAAGGCTTCGAAAAGACAAGGCATCTCATGCGTATTGCCGTATACGGGAATAATTAAGTTAAGGTTGTTGCAAAAGTTTTGGAAGGGTTTGACAGAGTGCTATAATCATGGTGTCATGCGAACCCTACCAAGACCTGTGTCATAGGCCCTGGTAGGGTTCGCAGCGCGCAGGCGGTTATGTACGTGCTAGTAGTGCTTCCAAGGGTTGAGGATCAGGATTCGCATTGCGTTGTAAAGGTATGGGATGGAAGTAACGGCCTAGGGGTGAATTTCCAGAGTATTGTAGGGGTTGGGGTGCCGGGTGTAGGGGATTCCCAGAATTTTGGGTGTGACATGGCCAGTCGACGCACTACAAACACAATGCTCTCACTCAACGCTGAACCCTCCCAAAACCCTCAACCCTGAACCCCTAGAACCTAAACCCTAAACCCTCAACCCCAAACCCCTACAGCCCTGTAAGCCCGAAACCCTCAAACCGTTCTGATCGCAGTACGCCTCTCGATATCGCAGTTAAACACTTTTCGTGGGGTGTTACAGGTCTTTCTACAGCTTTATATGTTCATGTGGTGGCTCCTCTGCTGTCCTTCACTTTCCTTGATCCGGACGTGGACCCCCGAACAAAAACCGACGTAGTCGAAAAGTCGAGCTGCAACGGGAGTTTTCGAGATCCCTAATCTGAAAAAAATCCTAAACACGTCCCAAACCAGCATGACCCAAAGCCCTCAGTATAATCGAGGGATCGTTCGAGCTGCGCGGGCTCCTCCGGTGAGGAAAAGCAGCATGGTGAGCGTAACGAACCTCAGGCAATGGCCATAGACTCTAGGGCTTAGGGCTTAAGGCCCAGAATGTAGGGCCTTGTAACTGTGGGGCTTACGAGATGCTGGGTTGATGGCGCGATCTTTATATTTTTGTTGGGGGGGGGGGGGGNNGGTTGGTGGGATCGCCGTCTACAGTGCTCGGTCTTCAATCTATACAGGCTGCTGCACGAGAACTTGATATGCCACTGACATACTCCGTGTCAGCTCCACAACAATCAGCAATGAGAAACAAAGCATAAACCCTAAAGCATAAGCCTAAATTTCCACACAGCAGCATTCAGATGGGGCTTTTGGACACCGGAGCACCTAAGCAATCGCCGGAATTACATGTCATTCAGATCCAGCCGTTCCAGTAGCCGTTCCATGCCGAAATCTTCGGAACCCGGAACCTAAACTCGTGACCCTAAAGGGTTTAGGGCTTGCGGTTCAGATGAGTGGCGAGACTTGGACCGCCGGGAAGTCGGTGGCTAGTC